CTAATTCCATTGTTTTCTTTTGTGTCTATTTGACTAGAGTGAAGTCATTTAACCCGTGCAATAGATATTAGACTAATACACTTTAGTAGACCCTAATTCCATTGTTTTCTTTTGTGTCTATTTAACTATTACACGTTTACTAATAATTTTTATTTCACGGGTTAAATGCCTTCACTCTATAATTCTATCTATTTTATTGCTTCTTTATTCAATTTTAAATTAGTTATACCTTTAAGCTTGGGCGTACCTTTATACCACTTGTCATTCCCTAGAGTATCATTTCTCTGTTTAACGGTTGTGCATGAGAAGACACATGAATATGGATACAACTTAAGCAAAGAATCTTATTCTCAAGAAAATGACACGTAATCTTAAATGGGTAAACATTACGCCCAAGGTAAAGAGGTTTATTAAATATTCCTTTCTAGCTGCACATTGTAATGGTTTACCACTGGGTTTAGAAGACAAACGAATAGCTGATTCGCAGTTATCAGCCTCATCAGTAGTTAACAATTATCACCACCCAAAATACGCCCGTCTCAACGCATTACCAGGATCTGATCATGCAGGGTCCTGGAGAGGGGCTTCCAGAAATGGGGAATATTTTCAAGTTGATCTTCTGACCACCAAAATGATAACCAAATTTGCAACTCAAGGACGACCGAGAGACAAATACAATCGCAACCAATGGATTTCTAAGTTCAGTTTGACTTACAGTGTTGATGGAAGTACCTGGGTGAGCTATCGTGGAGACGGTCAGTCTACAAAAGTAAGTGTTATATTCTTTGTAAAACGAATTAACCATAATTCTTTACCACTGTTTTCATTGCTACGGGCTGCTCGAGACACAAACGCCACGACAGGATAATCAGCAGTGAATAGATTACCGTCAATCAAGTAAATCGTTAGAGTAAGTAAAGGTTCATGGGAACCGTGGGAAGGTACATGAGAACGATTTTCCTGATTCATTGACGCTAGTCTATTGAGCATTCACCTGTTTTATTTTGCCTCGATCAGCGAGTAGGAGTAGCAATATGAAGATTTTTATGGTGTACGTTTGTTTGTAGATCTTTAATGGGAATTCAGACAAAGATACCATCGTGTCACACTCTCTTGGTGTTGATGTCCCAATAGTGGCTCGATACATCAGAATTGTAGTGCAAGCATTCGTAGAAAGTCCTTCTCTAAGAGCGGAGCTGTATGGCTGCAACATTTGAAAATGTAATAGAGATGTATTCATTTTGGGGTAAAATTGTGCCATATCAGTCCACGTGTCCTCCCTTGCGATGGCCATAAAGGTTTTGTTATGCGAGACGATTTTTCGCACAACATGCAAGCTGGACATGAAGAGCTGGCTTCAATGGCAACAATTTTGTGAGTTTCCGAAGCTCTGCTCGTTCAAAAACCTGCAACATGTTGCCGTAACAAAATATCATTAAGAATTGTAACACCGCGCCATGTTTCACTAGGCCAACTTTTAACGCAACATTGTCGCGCGAGAATTGGCCGTTGCAAATCGTCTCGTGTATGAAATGAAAAAAAAACTCTTTAAGGCGCGATTACACGGAGCAAGTTTTCTCTGCAACTTGTCTTGCAACGGCGTTGTGACACAAGTTGCATGGAGCATTGCAGCGTGTAACCTACAGTGCAATTTGAAAAAATGTTGCGAGACAATTTGCAACAATTGTTTCACGCGTCTCCGTTCCACCGTGTAAACACTCGTGTAACTTGAGCCGCAACGCTGTTGCGAGACAAGTTGCAGAGAAAATTGCTCCTAGTAAACCTCCTTTACCATGGCCGTATTTTTTCCATTATCTGCCCAGGTATTCTCCTGTTTTAGTTGTATCTATATTCGTGTGTTTTCTCATGCGCAACCGTTAAATAAAGAAATAATACTTTGGAGAATGACACTTGATCCGAAATGCGAAAACATTAATTACTCCCGAGGTAAAGAGATCTATTTATAGTTGTTTTCGAACTAGAGATTTCCCAAAATTTGCGTCGCAATTTTACTTTGAACCTTCACATTTGAAGTGCCTTTGACACCTAACCCAATATTTTCAGTATTGATTCTACATGAAGTGAATAGTTGAATGGTAAGATATTTTTATATGATTTGAGTGATGCATCTTGGAGATATCAAGGTGTATACTTCCAATATGTTAACGAGTGTGATGTCATATGAGGCATTATTAAAAATACAAAACTCCTATTTCTGGGTCAGTAATACTTCCTTTAAAACATCATCAATGTCAATCACCAAGTGCTTTACAACTGCACACAGCACGCGCGCGTGCGTTTTCACAGATTTTTCGAGTCATTATCAAGTCAAAAATGTTTGACTTGACAATAAGCCTGAAGCGAGATGACGTTTTACCTCGTCTCTAGACCATAATCCTTTTCACATTGCTTTTGTTCTTTAATTATGACTATTGTATTCTCTTAGGAATCAAAAATTTTAACATGAAAGAATTTAAAAAACTATTATGGTATAGAGTCGTGGGTAAAACGTCATCTCGCTTCAGGCTTATTGTGCAACGTTGTGCAACGTCGAAACGTCGTCACATTTTWAACTTGTTTTTATCGTTCAATTTTATCATAAAAAAGTTATCAAGACATCAAAAAAACATTTTGATTGATAAGTATCGTTTATAAAACTTTCCACGTTAAATAATATTTCTTATTAAACTTACTTATTGTTTATGAAAAATGAATTAAACCGCAACTTCTCTGTTCTATTTCTGTTTCTCTTCCTTGACAGCTGATTTTTTTAGGCCACAGGCTGGTTAAGACTTGAAGCTACACATTCATGAATACATTAAGTTCACTTCTGTGAATGATTTCCTCTTAAGGAAGCTCGAAACGGGAATTCTTGAGCGCGCGCGCTCTATAAATTTTTAATATTCAAACTGAAAAAAATCAAAAACTCTGTGGTAAAATTTCTTCAAATTTTGCATATGGCTTTAGTTTATGTTTTCGAAAACTTAAGGAAAAATTTTAAAAATTCTGTAAGAGGGAACTATTCGAAACAAATTTTATCGATTTTTACGAAATTCCTATTACAGATTTTTTTTCTTTCTTTTTTTGCCAAAAAGAAGATTACGGTACAAACTTTAGATATACCGGTTTTTAAAAAAATTCACCATTTGGTTCCTCAGTTATGATAACATTTTTTAAATGAACATTTTTGATGGCAGAGCAAGGGTTCTGATGTTGTCATAGCAACGTCTGACGTCATTTTTTTCAACTTCATTGTGATCTTTGGTTTATGGTCTTTGGCTTTCCGGGTCTACTTGCTGTCATATTATAGCCATAATAACTTTTTTTAATTCATAATTGTAAGTGTATGTGAAGGCACAAAACACTTTCCAACCTCCTTAAGCGAGGCTAAACCTGTACAAATGAGATTTTAATAAAGCGAGATTACAGGAGTATTTGAATTAATGATAAATGAATAATGTATAGATATAGATAAATAACAAATAACCGATTAATACTATTCATCCGGTGAAAGCTAATTGGAATTTAGAAGTTGAGTTTTGCGGAGGAGGGAAAACCAGAGAACCTGAAGAAAGACCCTCGAAGCACAGAAGGGAACCAGCAATTAACTCAACCCACATACGACAGCGAATATTTACTGAATGATAAAGGAAAATATATAACTACTTCATAATGGTATTGCACACTTATACATTGCACTTGTAGCCTCTTGAAGAACAGAGCCTTTTGTTCGCGCTTAGGGGTACACTTGTAGGACAGATGTGGGAAGATAAGAACCGATACCAGAACATCTCGAAGAAAATTAAATTAGTACACACTTATTCAAAGTGAGGACAAGAACTTCTCTTATCTTGAAATGCAAAGTTATAGAATTTTCGAGAATTATATACGACAATTGAACTAAGTAGATAGACATCTTTGTTATTTATATAAATTTATATCTTACTTTGATCAGCCCAGATATTGTTTCATGCAGGGATCGATCTGTGAATTAGTCGTGCCCTGATTTAATTCACCCAGAGATTGTTTCAGGGTTCCATCTGAGTTAGCCATGCCCAGACTTTGTTCAGCCCAGAGGTTGTTTCAGTGTTCAGTCTGTGAGTTAGCCATGCCCTGACTTAGATCAGCCCAGAGGTTGTTCCAGGGTTCAATCTGAGTTAGCCGTGTCTTGAGCTAGATCATTCCAGAGGTTGTTTCAGGGTTCATTCTGTGAGTTAGCCGTGCCTTGACCTAGATCATTCCAGAGGTTGTTCCAGGGTTCAATCTGTGAGTTAGCCGTGCCTTGACCTAGATCATTCCAGAGGTTGTTTCAGGGTATCGACAAAACTGAATGTTTTTCTGCCGCCCTTCTTTTGTCACACTTGTCCTTAAGTATTAACTAGTGTGTTCTTCACTTAAATTGATATTGTGGATGTCATTATAACGAGATCAAGATCAATTGAAAAAGTTAGTTGTGTCTAAAATTAAGTCTTTCATGTGACAGGAATGTTCTCGACCGTCTGGCCTGCTTGGCCAATAATATTTTAAATTGAAGTAGTTGTATCACGAGATTCTTGAAAGAAGCAGCTGGTATGAAAGAAAAACATTCTATTTCTCGCAAGAAAACGCTTCAGGAAAATGAATTTCTGTGTTATAGGCATGGTCACTACTCAGACATATCATTTTGATTTTGTAATCCCTTTAATTGGGCTCAATTTGGTCACTGGCATATCGGCTACAATTCTCAATGCTCTTGTCATTTTGACTATCTGGAAAACGCCTCCTCTACAAACGCCCTCGAGGATTCTTCTTTCTAGTCTTGCGCTCACGGATCTCTTAGCTGGTGCTGTGGTACAGCCAGTATTTATCGCTTACTGCATCTCCGCTTTAATGAACTGGTGTCAAGCTTTCGTGTTTATTCATGCCCTTGTCGTTAGATTGGGATATAGCCTTACTGCAATATCAATGACAACCTTGGCTGCTATTGCTCTCGACCGGTTTTTGGCCATTGCAACGAAACAAAACTATAGGATCATTGTAACAAAGAAACGGTGCTTGATCGCTGTCATTTTTTTATGGCTAGCTCCAGGATCTGCGATGATCATTGGACTTCAGTTCAAAACGTACGAGGATAATGACACGACGATTCTAATGTCGATCATGATCTTATTCCTAGTCATTATAATCACATTGTATGGCTTGTCTTTTTATTTGATGAAAAAGATGTTTACCAGTATTGCACATTCTGTTATTCATAATACCACGGATCAAACAGCGCCTGGCTTTAACATCTGGAAATACAAGAGGTTTCTTGTTACTATGGTGATCATCTTGGGACAGGTTTTGCTATCTTATACTCCATTGCTTTGTGTTTATTCTTCGCTTGGTCTGAACGCGGTTTTAAATAAGCCAGCTTTGTTGCATTTCGGGGAGTTTTTTATACTCCTTATCTCTACTCTCAATCCCATTTTGTATCTATGGCGAATGAAAGGCCTCCGTCATGCTCTTAACCAAATCTTGTTTCACAGTTAGTGCCGACACTAATTGTCTAGTGTTGAAAGCATCTACAAACAAACCGCCTAGTCAAGTATTGGAGTCATAAGCAGCTTTTGTCTAATGTTCTTGAGACACATAAATTTCCCCGAATTGACTTGTGACTACGAAACAATGGCCCCAAGTGGAGGTTAGACTTACACTGATGTTTTCATACATTTACTGTATTTTATCAAGTCCAAAATAATTGTCGATCGGGAAATATGATGACACAAGAATAAACTGATGTTCCACTATCGAAAAAATATCGAATTTAGTGACCATTCAAATGCGGGAATAATAATTATTTAATCACTTATTGTGCGTGCATTCCATACAATGATCATGCGTGCATTACAATAATAATATAATATAATATATGTATAACTATATATCTATTTACAAATAAGATGAATAAATATATATTGATATGTACTAAAAGAACTATCAAAATGCTGATTTAAAAAGGTGGGTCTTAAGATGGCGCTTAAACAAACTACCATCTTTAATGGCGCGAAGGTCTGCGGGAAGAAGGTTCCAGAGAAGCATGGAATAAAAGACATTGTTACTGATGAACAAGGCGCTGGCAGCTATTGATCCAGACAAACACTGAACATTTAGTAACAAATCATTATACTAGATTTAAACTGGCCAAAAAAAAAATCCTCACTAAGAAATCAATCAAACAACTATTTCTTAAACTATACAACATGAATTATAAGAAAATATATATAGTTGATATAAGCTTGAATAAGAGAAAATGAACTAAGAGAAGGAATCCCCGTGCCCCATCATGTGCACACTTTGATGCTATTTTTAGAATCATTGATGCTATTTTTAGCACGTTACCATGCCCGCGCGATAATCATGCTTCCTTTAATGCCTCGTTTTAGGACACGAAAAGCGACAAAAACACAGGCTTTTGTTTACTGCAATACTAGAAGCCGCCTACCCTCAAGAAATCAACCAATCAGGTTCTTCGCTCAAAATATCTCAAAGCTAAAAATAGCATCAAACTGTGCACATGATGGTTACAAGGCTATATAGGGGGGATTCCTTCTCTTAGTTTATATTCTCTTGGCATGAATATATCTTCAGACTAAAATAATGAATTAGGAGTTAATTATGATTACACAGAAAATAGATAAATAAATGTATAATATCATTACTCAATATAATGATGTAATGATGAAAAGGTAAATTATACACCGTGAAAAGATGAAAAAACTTACTGACGTTTCAGGAGATGTAAATTGTATTTTCTCTCAAATGAATAAATAGTGAAATAGGTAGGCAAGTTCATAGTAGTATACTAGGGTATTGAGTGCCAGATAATAGTTAAAAACAATCGTTTAAATATAGAGATACTACCCTTGTTTGTACCCTAACGTAAGGCTTGTGACAGTGAAACTGGCCGAATAGATATGTGGTATTCACCTCTTCAGCTGGGGTAACGTATCCAATAAGAAAATTTGGTATAAGTGATTTGTTAAATATGATTTTATATCCAAACAAAGTAACTTCTCTATAAATATAATTGACAGTCAAAATAAGAACTAACGGATTGAAAGCAAATTATGGATGACGTACTTATTCAATGAAATTGCGAAATTTAATAGATTTAAAATAATGGAATAAATAAATGATCGTCAATAGGTAATGTCCTTATTTCGACTCTGCATTTCTTCTATTCTCATCGTTCTGTTTGGTGCTATTTTCACCTTGTTTGGTTTTTGAGCCCCAGGCACGTTTCTTTAAGAATTTTTGAATATTTGTCTTTGAAAGTTTATCCATATCTTCTGTATATTCGAATCCTTCAATATCCAAAGTCAACTGGTCGTTCAAAGTATCCTGGATGCTTGGAAGCTCTATGTTAGCAACAGGGGAAGAATCGGTGAAATTACTTGTTACATCAGTAAACGAAACGAACGTAGCCAAGCAGCATTCCAACGAAAATCTTGGGTTTAGAAACCAAGCTTTGATGTTAGGATACAACAATCTAAAGGAATACCCTGAAAGTACAGATTAATCTTTTAAGTAGGTTCCCATTTTATTTATTTGTACGTACTTTTACTATGGACACTTTTTTTCCAAAATCGCTGTTGCAAAATCAAACGAGAAAATTAAAAACCTATAACATCAGTAGAAAGAGCACCTTTTCTTTAATAACCCTTATATCGGGGCTTATATCGGCCTAGAAAAATTAAGTTAAAAATCAATGACAAATTTACAGACGTTTGCACATTTACGGGGGGTATGGCGTAAAGTAAAGGTACTTTTTTAGTGCTGTTATACGTTGTTTCACTCAGTCGTTTGATTTTAACTCATTTAACTCCCATTAGTGTACGCCATTTTGGAAAAGGGTCTATTAAGTTGATCAGTCGACGGTAGTCTATTGCGCTATTCAGGCCCCGTTGCGACTTTTGTCGCGATCAGCGAGTGGCAAACAAAATAGTAGTAAAGAATTATTACTCAAAGATAAGGAAGTTTGCAGGATTAACCACGGGTACGTAAAAGCAATCAGTTGCTAAATAACATATCAAGGTTTGCTCCATACATTAGTGTCAAAGTTGGAGTTGAGAAAGGTCACTCCATATATGGAATCATATAATTCCATATTTGGACTGCGGGTATTTACCCTGAGGTCAAAGATGGCGGACAAGCGTGTTCGTCGGCTGGCGAAACGGCTGAGAGACATTTACGAGATTGGCGAAGACGAAAAAACAAGAAAAAACTACAAAAAAATACGAAATAAACAAGCTTCTCCCCAGTCCCTTTTTTTAAGACTAGGAAAGAGAGCTTTAACACTCATTGTTTGATATGTATCGTATTATTTGCATAGTATAGATGTGAATAAAGAACAAGGTCACTCACAGTTTATTAGGATAAGAATTAGCGCATTGGTAGCGATGAGGAAGTTACTGACAATAGCCTCTTCTTGAATGTCGTCACTGAAAGCATCTTCAGATGACTCTTTTGAAATCCTCAGCAAGGCCGCCAGCGAAAAGTTAACAAACGTTGCTGTTAGGGATGTAAGTTGAACGACATTGTCAGATGCATGTTTCGTTGGTTTGAGGAAGGCGAAAAGTAATGCATAGACGATTGACATGGATGCTGCAGCCATGATATGAATCCTGCTCCCATTACTTATCCAAAACATTCCTGATGCAAAGATAAGCTTTCGTGTGGTCTCGACAAGTTCCCAATACCATAACTTCCTTGAATAGTTCTCAAACAAAAATGAACATGCCAGGCGGAGCTCATTCTTTTGGGAAAGAACTTGATCGTCTTTGAGCTTTGTTTTGGTGTTGCACTTCCAAAGTAATCTGAATGTAATTACTAAGAGAGCAAGGGGATAGAGAACTGCTAGCCAAGCAACTTTCAACCATCTGTAAATCAAAAATATTTTTAGAATACTTCATTAAAATACCTATACACGAAACCTGATATTCTTGGTTGACTTTGACTATAGATTTGCATGGTCTTGGTGCCTTTTGTATTGTCAACCAACATGGCGGCCACCGACTTTCTAGGCCACCATACCCTGACTAAGATCAGCCCAGAGGTTGTTTCAGGGTTTGATGAGTTATCCATGCCCTGACTTAGATCAGCCAAGAGGCTGTTTCAGGGTAGGATCTGTGAGTTAACCATGCCCTGACTTAGATCAGCCCAGAGGTTGTTTCAGGGTTCTATCTGTGAGTTATCCATGCCCTGACTTAGATCAGCCAAGAGGCTGTTTCAGGGTAGGATCTGTGAGTTAACCATGCCCTGACTTAGGTCAGCCCAGAGGAATTGTTTCAGGGTTCAATCTGTAATTTAGCCGTACCCTGACTACTTAGATCAGCCTAGAGGTTGTTTCAGGTTTCAATTTGTAAGATAGCCGTGCCCTGACTTCAATCAGCCCAGAGGTTGTCTAAGGGTTCCATCTGTGAGAAATGGTTAATTCCATACTTGTAATAGTAGCTGTCGAAACACTTCAGTCCGTAGTCCGCCTTCAGGTACCACCTACAGCTTTGTTCAGAGCAAATTTCATGACACGCTGCTGGCATCACAGTGATAATGCTGGTACATGTTGATGGGAATGTAAGAAATAAGAAGAAGATGATAAAGCGATAGTTTGTTTCTTTGGCAGATGAAATAGCAGCTGTCTTTTGTTCATCGGGTAAGTCCTTCTTGTTAATGCGAGATTTACGAAAGTAATAGATGATAGTGGCTACAATAATCACAAACACATTTCCTAATATCATCATAACCATTTTGTAAAAAGGATTGAATGTGAATCTTGGTACGAGGCAGTGTAGAGGCAAGACTTGAAACAAGTTCAGTTGCAAGATATTTGCATATTCAACATATTTGTTCAAATTCTCTGGCCAATCTATGAACGAAAAGCTCTGTATCATTCCTAAACTGACTTGATAAAAACCTATAGTAATCTTGATTTGAGACATCAATATTTCTGAGATGGAACGACCACTCTTATCTCTTCTTTTCTTCTTTCTCACTAAAGTCGCAAACGAAATTATGAAGAATAGGATGATCACAGCTTGTAGTGAAATCCACCCAATGGAACACTTCCTACATCCTAAGCTAGCACTTTTATGAAAACCTTCAACGCAAACACTACAAAGGACCCCAGTGTAGCCTTCAGAACATTCAGAGAAGATCGACCCTGTACAAGCTTCTCGTACAGGACAAGAATACGCAGGTGGTAGTCGTCCAATATACTTTGTATTATTGATATCATATGTGTCATCTTCGATCTCGAGATTTCTGGCAAGTTTGCGGAAAGCCTCCTTACGAGGATTTGAGTCCCAGGCCCAGTAGAATCCAGGTTTTAGGAAAATCAACTCATTTCTGCAGACAACGCCATCTGTTGGACACTTCTCACAAGGGCCGAAACGATCGGTTCGATAAAATCCAGGAAGGCACTTACAAGCTCTGAATCCTGCAAAGTCACTGAATTTTGTTCCTAAAATTTAAAGCACGAAAAAATCATTGAAGGAATTTCTTCTTCCTGCGATATTTAAAGAAAATATTCCACATGCATTTGCACATTTACAATAATACATTGCGGTTGAGAGGTATCCAAGGGAAAAACTTTACGCATTAAACTGAAGACTGATCAAAAGGTTTTACAAATATATACATCTTAGGATATTTAGAATAGTCAGTACCTGAAGGACATTTTTTACAATCTAAACTGCTCTTTCCTGGTGCATTTTCAATGCTGACATATGTTCCGGGTGGACAAGTCTTACAGCCTTTAAAAACGTCAAACGTCGTTAACACGTGACCGATGTTATCCTGAAAGAATCCACCTGAAATGGAAACATATATCGTGTTTATGGTAAACAAACTAAATAAGTGATATCATTGAGTAGCGAACTGCAAATAGACTTTTTCGGAATTCGCTTGAGTTGCCACTAAAAAATGGTTCCGAGTCGAAGTCTAAGTTGATCAGCAAAAAATATTAAATGTAAATGTACGTATTGATGGCTTGCAAGCATTCCCAAGAGAGTTAAAAGACAAAAACATGGCGGCCATTGTGGTACCGTTAACAATGGATGCTAATGAGAAATCTTTTGTTAAATGGTACCAACATGGCCGCGATGACGTATAGTGCAAACGAAGAATTGAATGTATGAACAAATGAAGTCCATCCTCGAGTTGGAACTACTGTCTTGTGGTCAACCTGGTTACGCATGTAAAGACACATGAATATGAATACATCTAAAAAAAAAGAATCTTATTCTTAATGGAACGAAAAAGTGGCCTAATAGAGGCTTTGCAACATCACGTGATGGCAACCATGACAGGAGGCATAACAATAGAGTTTCGTTCCCCTGGGATTCTGGTCCACGGCCTCTAATAGATACTCTCCTTTGCTTCGAGGATTTTTCTGCGGATTCTCCAGTTATCCTCCCTCGACAAAATTCAACTTCTAAATTTTCTTTTTCTCTCTCTCTCTCTCTTTTATGAGAAGGACATGCTTGCCTTGCTAACCGAAACGAATGTCACACTAAATAGCTGTAGTTTATGGTAATTCAACACTGTTTTTACCTGCAGGACAGTTGTAGCACCTTGAGTTCATTGAATACAAACCAGGTACTATTGTGAAAGCACCTATTGGACAATGGGTGCAATATCCATCTTCTTTACAATTGATACCACTGAATCCGAGTAAGCGTTTTAGAAACTGGGTATTATTCGTTCTTTTGATTTGAAAAGATGAATGGGAACTGGATGGGACCCTAGAGACAAACAAAAAATATCATAAACAACAAAAACTAGAATTAATGGTAATATAGTAAGTTGATGCTCGGTAGATTAATATCAGTGCACTCGCCATCACCTCTCGGGTCTAAGTTCGGAATTCAATGCAAATTTGATCTGGTAGTTAGCCACGCCCTCAATTTGATAATTCCAGAGGTTGTTTCAGGGTTCCTGATGTGCATGTGAGCTAACCATGTCCTGACTTAGATCAGCCCAGAGGTTGTTTCAGGGTTTAATCTGTGAGTTAGCCTTGCCCTGACTTAGATCAGCCCAGAGGTTGTTTCAGGGTTCAATCTGTGAGTTAGCCGTGCCCTGACTAAGATCAGCCCAGAGGTTGTTTCATGGTTTGATCTGTGAGTTAGTCATGCCCTGACTTAGATCAGCCCAGAGATTGTTCCAGGGTTCTATCTGTGAGTTAGCCATAACCTGACTCAGATTAGCCCAGGTTGTTTCAGGGTTTGATCTGTGAGTGTCCTGCTTCAATCAGTTGTTTGTAGTATAAACCCAAGTAAAATAGATTAACACAAGCAATGTTGAAATTAAGTTGAAATTATTTTATTTTTGTGTCGTTCAGGTTACCAAAGCCTCTTCTTTTCGCTACTAGTCGTCTATCACTAATAGACCACTAGTAGATCAGCCAATCAGAGCGCAGGATTCGTGATAGACCATAAGTAGGTTTATTCTACTTATAAATAAATATACTTACAAGTAGATTTGCGTCTTCCGTGAAGATATGGCGGTCCTTGATATAAAGTGGAACTCACTGATGTTTGTGTTTTCGGCAAAGCTAAATGTAAAATGATGTTCTTGCCTTAATACCATACCTATGTATAAACTAAATTGCAGACTGAACTTGTGGCATTAATTTCATATAATATATATTATATACAGTTATTTCAGTTATAGGTTGGAACTTGGAAGGTTTTGTTCCATGTTGCATACATTGGGCGAAGTGCACCATGAGCGATGTGATTGCAAAGAACATGCAATAAAAGTTTCACCAACTTTTTGAAATAGCTGTTAATCAGATTTATTAAACAAGCTACATTCTTACAGGAATTGAAGTGAAGAACTTTCAAAAAAGTTGTCATCAAAAACTCGTATAGGGTTATTCGTCAAAGATCTTGAAAAATAATGCACATACAGTATTAGTTAGAAAGTATTTGTAATATCTGTCTATTATACTTAAAACCCTTGAAATAGTTAGTAGGCTGGTAGGTTATTGCTAGGTTTCATATCCATTATCTTCTCTTTTCTATAAAACGTAAAAAGAAGCTTCATTATTAATCAAATGAAAGTCAAGGTGTAGAATAATGTTAAGCAATAAATACTTAACTTACAAAGAAGTAAGGCTCATGTTGGCGCTGAAAATACCATTCATCTGCACTATTCGGTTATTACTTAGAAATCTTGAAACAAAACAAAAATATAATAATGATAATAATAATTAATCTGAGCAATCTGTAATATAAGGCCGCACAATTATTATCTTTATCAAGAGGTTTCTTTTGTGTGTCATATTATGTATTAAAAATATGTCAATACTTACAAATGTTTTAACTTAGGTACGTTCACAAACGAATTCCATTCAACAGTATTTATTCTGTTCTCCGACAGGTTACTATCAAAAATAGAAAGTATATTACAGAAATATTAGGCTTTCCGATGTTGCGCGGGTAACTGGTAACGAGTAGGATGCGCGCTGAATCATGAGCCTCTTTTTTAAAGGACGCCTCTTTTCAACATGGTGGATGTTTAGCAAATTCTCTTCTAAAACAAACCTAAAACTAAAGTAAATGTGACTCGATTCAAAAATAAAAACCTGTAAAACGAAAGTCCAAAATGTGTCACCTAAAATAGTTAGAAAAAAATTATGTAGACGAAAAAAAATTCCTTCCAGGAAACATCTAGAACTTCATAAAAATAACAGAGGAAAGATAACTATTCTTAAAAGGAAGTTTTAAAAAATCAATTAAATAATGCAGAACAAATTAATGATCTTCGTTAGTAATTTAATTAATTAATATTAATTAAGTCATATCAATTAGTTATAGTTAATTAGTTATAATTATATAATTAATTAGCGATAAGTAACTAATTAATAAGATCACTAAATAAAAAAATCTGCATTCAATTTTTTTAAATTAATTAATAAGATCAATTAATCAATTATTCACAAGAATAAATAATAAAGGTTTTTAGGTTTTACTGTTCACATCATACATCAATACATAGCAGTAATAATACTTACTTAATCAAAAGTGATGCGAGGTTCACAAATGTATTAGACTTGATAATCGAAATGTGGTTGTTCTGGAGCATTCTATGATTATAAACGACATCAAAAGATTATAAACCAAGCAATCGTAAGTCATAAAATTTCAAAAAATCTTCAAAAATATTTTCTAATATAGTTAAACAAATAAAATATTCAACAATCCACTCGATTGAAAATAAATCCCTAACATAAATTTTAATAACAATAATGTAATAATAATAATAAGTTTGTAAATCATTAAAAAAWWAWWAWWAWWAWWAAAGAATATTTACATTATGTACTTTGTGAAAATTTAAAGAGAAAAAGTTACTATTTACAAAAAAATAGAAAAAAACAAAATGAAAAACAAGCATTATAAAAAAGTCTAAAATTATCTAATATCGGCAAGGTTAGTATTAATGCTAAAGTCCAATAGAAAGTCACTTTCGTTGTTCTTATAAAAAGGAGTGCGGGAGCCTCTAATGCATGTAATTACAGCTTTCAAAATCTCAAACGACAACTTTGTTCTAATATATGTTATTGTGTCAGAATCCACTCGATTGTATCTTTTTTAAATAAAAAAAATTGTTTAGGTAATAGGACTATATGCTGTCCAATTTGAAAATAATTGAATGAAAAAAATTCCAAGGACTGACAAAATTGCAAGAGGCCGATACGCCGAGTCCAATTTGGCAGCCAGAGAAATTCTTTTTAATTCGATCATTTCCAAATTGGACAGACATGTAGTCCTATTGCAGATTAATTATATTATCCCAAACTATACTAGACTGATTCCATAAGTCATAATTTTCCCTCGAAAGAATGCGAATAGAAACGATCCAAATTCATCTTTAATTTGGACAGGAAAGAGAATTTGAAAACAATACAATAGTTGTGTATATGGGATCATAGAGTGGTGATACAATTATAGCACTAATTGTAAATTAATGAATGAAATGTCCAGCACATATCTAACAACTTACAGCGATACGAGGTCGTTCAAGTTTTTAAGAGGCTTAATTTCTAGCATTTTATTGCTATGAAACGATCTGAAACAAAAATTCAGAAATACGTTTGCTGTAAAAGTTTCTTTAAATATAGTGTATCAAAGTATAACAAAGAAAAACTATATATCTTTTAAGATATAAAAAATTAAATTTTGAATTTTAAAAATGATTTTAATTTTAATATTGAACATTTAAAAATTGTAGCAATACAATACAATAGACTTCATTAGGTTCTCGAGGGGATCTTCATACCTAATTTCCAATGTTTTGGAATTTTTTTTTTTTTTTTTTTTTTAGTATTAAAAATTACAATTGAAATTTAATTGATACATAGCCAGTTGCGCAACAACACTGACTCAAAATTACGCGTAAATGACGATACAGAAGAAAGGTTACGTAGCTGATCATAAAGAGAATTTCAGGGCCCGATTGTACGAAGGGTGGATAGCGCTATCCGACGGATAAAATTATCCAGTGGATAAATTTATTGGATAACAGCATCGACTTATCCACTGGATAAGGATTTAATCCGTCGGATAGCGCTATTCACCCTTCGTGCAACCGGGCCCAGATGATATCGCGTCACAATACACAAACGATAATTTACCTCGAATTATATGAATGTGTTGGGATTGTGTGATTAAAAAAAAGACTTACATTGCCTGAATTTCTTTGCTTCTTTGGATTTCCAAATCCCAAGAATTGATTAAGTTATTGTCAGAAAAGTCCCTATATATATCCAAAATATTTTTATAAGATACAAAATACTGTATTATTTATTCTCTACAGTGACTGCTTGCATCCATAAAATCAGGAAATAGGTAATTAATAATACCAGTCTCACGTCACGCCACGCCCCGCCCCGCCCGATTCCATCACAACAAGTCACGTCACGTCACATCCCATCACACCTCACCACGTCCCGCTCCATCCCATCCCATTCCGTCACATCAAGTCACATAACGTCTCGTCCCGCCCTATCCAATCCCATCCAGTTCCATTTTGTCAAATCACGCCACGTCACGCCACGTCACGTCACGTCAAATCACATCACATCACATCACATCACATCACATCACATCACGTCACGTCACGTCACATCACATCACATTAAACTTTAGCTTACGCGCCAACAAGACGAGGTAAATTATCCAAAAGGCCATTTGGAAGAATATACAACCCATTGCCTATAAATGCCCTTAAAAAATAAGAAGGAAAAATAAATGAGTAAAAATGAATAACGATTCATCTAAAGAGCAGTCACAGGTTATACTTACGTCATTATAAGATTAGGTAGTCCTTGGAGAAGTGTCTTTGGCAAGTTAATCAAACGGTTTTTAGAAAGTGACCTGTGACAAGTATACACATGCGATTTATCATAGCCTCTTAGGGTAATTTGACTGACAACCTAACAGCTGATCTGAAATAGCCAGTGACTTCACTGCAGAAAAACTGTGTCATTTATCATTATAACACTGTTAAGCGCCTGTTAGCAACATTTTTTTTATTTGATGGCTAGGAAAATCCTTAATTTCAAACTGAGAAAAAGTGACATTTTCATTGGCTAGCAATTTTTTCTCAGATCAGCTAATTTAATGGTTTCTTTCAGAGTTCCCTGCTCCAATTTGAAAGGTAGCCATGAGAGGAACAGTGGAGCTTGCAATGATAAACACCTTGGACAATATCACATGTCTCTATCATTATTGCAAGCTCGCCGTTCCTCTCGCGCTCCCATGCAAAGGAACGGCTACGTTTCAAGATGGCGCATGGAACTGTGACGGAGCCTATTATTGGAACATAACTTGCAAATATTCGAGACGATTAAGTCCTTTGAACAAAGTCGCTTGTAAAGAAACCAATCGATTGTCGTTAAGAAACCTGTGTCAAACAAGGAAATAATCTTTAATACAGATTTCATGTTTTCGTTCTACACTCAATAGAAGACTTGCACTGACAAGTCACGTGACCCTAAAAGCATGTGAAAATAAACAAGGGGGAAGCTTCGGCTCATAATATTGACTATAAGAGGCATGGTAAATATAAAATGGAATATTTTGTAAGGATGACAAAGATTTGCCGTCCAGCATATTTTCCCATACGAATCCTTATAAAATATTTGATTTCATATTTGATGCCATTTCTCCTGTTTCGCTTGTTATGAGCTAAAACTCCGCCACCATACTAATATCGAGGTGCTCTTTCCATTTTTGTTGTTCATTTTAACACAGCTCTCATTTAAAGCGAAGTAGAATCACGTGACCTATTAGTGCAAGTCGTCTTTTATGTTCAAAACATAAAACATAGGAACTGAGACCGAAAGGCATTCTGGGAAATGACATAACTATCCTCAGGGCGCTGTTGCACGAAGCCACTTTCAAGGTGTTTTACAATTACCTGATTTTCAAAGACGCTTTTTTCCCCCTAAGGCCTGTAACTTTTACTTACAAAAGTTCAAGTTTGTATAATCCTCTGAAGATTTCCTCTGGTAGACTCGCAATCCTGTTATAACTGAGGTCCCTTGGAAAAAAGACGTCAATGTAAACCTAATCTTGTTTTATTGCAATGATCTAGCTATCAATCGATTAAATATTAAATATAAATATTGCAAAATCAGTACATGAGGTGAAGCATTCGATTTTATATTTGATAGAGGTTTTGCACCATCACGTGACGGCACCATGTTAGATGGCAGGAATAATACAATCGTTTTACATGAGAAAAAATTGAATTCCCGAGAGCAAAGGGATTTTATTGTTCTGCCATCTAACCACAGGCAGCCCAAGCTGGATTATGCATGGGCTTGGACACATGATGGTGGAAAACCTATCTATTCTCTATTCTCAAGATTTGCTACACATTTTTACTTACAAAAACATCAACTGTCTCAGTTCTCTGAAGACTTTCTCTGGTAACCTTTCTATCACATTATGGCTCAAATATCTACAATATATCAAGACTTTATCTATCAATGGTTCATCCGCATTCAATCTTTGTAAATTATTTCTAAATTTATTGAAATGCGTTTTTAACTCAAAAGAAAAGAAAACAGAAAATAATGAATATGTTTGATATTTTGAGACATTATCAATGTCTAATAAGACTATATTTATTCATATTATGAATGGCACTTTGCAGTAAAATTACAGCCTTTGGAGTCCTTTGCAATAGCTGAATACATCCTCGTGTAGGTGAAGTAATTTGTTTGCCTCTAACGAACTAAAACATAAGTGAATACGTTATTAGCAAGAGAACTAGAATAGGTATTAAATGTTCCCACAAATTTGTTCGTTTGTTCGTTTGTTCGTTTGTTCGTTTGTTCGTTTGTTCGTTTGTTCGTTTGTTTTGTTTGTTCGTTTGTTCGTTTGTTGCTTATTTTTACTTACATCACTATCAAAGAATCAAGGTCTTTGAAGTAGTCTTTAGGTATCTTACTAATGCTACAATTTGTAAAAAAACTAAATATTTGAAGGAAAAATAAATATATTAATTCGATTATTTAATAAAAGCAAGTATTTGTTCATTAAGCCCAAATTGCATGATGATAATAATAATAATAATAATAATAATGATAGTAATAATATTATTATTATTAATCTATGGTTTTTCTCCCTCCAAAACAGCACACTGACGTTTGGGGGTACTTTCCATTTTCCGGGAAAAACTGGAAATTCCGGTTGGAAAACAGAAGGTATGTAACCGTTTCAATCGGAAAGTTCCCGATTGTAATCCACTTTTCCCACACTTTTCGGAATTTCTTTCCGTTCCAAACAAACTTCCAACCGGATGGATTGTTTAAATGATAAGCACCATTGTTCAGGTAATTTTTTAAAAGGTTTTAGATATCATATTCTTATTGTTTTTAAATGAAATATTTCTTTACTTACAGTAAGCCAACCTTCGCATAATAAACTCCTTTTGACTGCAGATTCTTGAACCTATTTTAGTCGAATAATTAGGTAGTCATTCATTTAGTTTAAACTAATGAATAAAAACCTTTAGCGAGGTTGAGAGCTGTTCAACTTGCCAAAATAATAGAAAAGATCATATAGTTTTGTGCTCTCAAATATTTTTGCAGTGTTTGTTTGTATGTGTTGCATGTGTACTTTCTTTGAAATAACACGTGATCTAGGAAAAAAGGATTAGCCAATTATATTGCGAATCGTGTTGTCGAAAAACTATCAATCCCATGCGTCTTTGCGCGCCCAATCCTTGACGAGCCACAGGAAAGAAAAGTCAGCTATTTACAGATAACATTAAATGCCCGTAAAATTTCAAAACACTGGTATGTTCAACTTCCGCATTCTTTACATTACAGTTGACTTTTGCAAATGTTTTTCTCTTAAACGAGGCTACGCCTGTGTAGATGAATCTTCAGTCATAAGCCACAGCGGTATATACGGAATGAGAAAAGAGAATGTTATTGTAAAATTGCATACGAATCTTTGTTAGTGCACATACTTATAATAAAGTAGCTTCTCGGGTAACGGCATTCCATTCTTGAATGATATGTAAGAACAATCGACTGCGAAAACGTTGGAATATTTGCATAAGTGTGCTGGAACATCCTCACTGCCTATATCATCGCTAGTTTCCTTCGTAGCTATTAAGTAAAAGAAAATAAGTTCGTTTTATTGTCATGACTCATAACTAGGAATAAACGCTTTTCTTTCCATTGGCACCTTTTGGTTCTCTTTTTTGTGACGTTTATTGTGACGTTTATTGTGACGTTTATTGTGACGTTTATTGTGACGTATATTGTGACGTTTACTGTGACGTTTATTGTGAAGCTTTTTTGTCGTTTATCGTGAATTTTTTGACGTTTATTGTGACGTATATTGTGACGTTTATCGTGACGTATATTGTGACGTTTACTGTGACGTTTATTGTGAAGCTTTTTTGACGTTTATTGTGAAGTTTATTATGACGTTTATTGTGACGTTTATTGTGACGTTTATTGTGACGTTTATTGTGACGTTTATTGTGACGTTTATTGTGACGTTTATTGTGACGTTTATT